TAGGGGTCAGACACCATTTCTGATTCGCCGCACCGATCGCAAATGTTGATTAACGCTGGGAAACCTCACAGCCGATTGCATTAAAATCGTCGACTCGTGGCCCACAGGCCCCCCCCCCCCCCCCCGGCGCCTGGGCGTGCTTGCTGCGCTTGCGCTCGCGGCACTTGCTGTACTGCCACGCCTCAGCGTGGAATCCTTGCTCGCTTCAACGTGGATTCACCGAACGCTGCAATGCTTGGATACTGCAAGCTGCAAAAATCAGAATTTACAGAAGGCTTGGATACTCAAAAATCACAATCACAGTTTACAAAAATCACAATGACAATTATGCTTGGAAATTGTGCTTTTTTGCAGCTTGCATTTTACAATGTACAAAAAACATAATCACAAGTTACTCAAAATCACAATCACAATGCTTGGATACTGCTTGCGGAAAAAAAAAAAAAAAAATTGACGGAAGGCGCCTTTTAAATCTCCAGGACTCGCAGATAAGAGTAAAAAAGGCCATCGGCAGATCGCACGCATGGCCCCGAGTTGGCATCAGCAGCTGTACACAAGATGGCTCTGTTCAAAGCCAACAAGGCTCTCCGATCATGTAATCACCCGGTGTTTTGTGCTTAACTTCTGCTGATTGAAGGCCAAAGAGAAACAACAGCCGCATCCACAAAAGGCGCAAAGGCTAGGGCTAGCTCAAAAAATACAACAGAGCAGTTGAGGCACCATGGTGAGCAAGTACTTGTTGCATGACTGCAAATCATGGGCTTCAGCCGTGCGCCACAAGCAGGCTGAGCCCGGCTCTTGGTGAGGAAGCGCGCAAGGGCCTCCGGGGTAAGACCTGAGAAGCTCCGCACCCCAGCGCTTGGTTTCCTTGGAGCGATCCAAAGGGCACGTAGGCAAACCACCTTCCGCACGAGGCAATATGAACATCCTTTTTCTCCGCCTCAACTTTGGAGGATGGCCGAAGTTGAAAACCCAAGCCGGTTCGCAACTCATTTCCCCCTGGTTCAGTGACCTGGTAAAAGCAGAAGAAAACAAACACGTGAGGGTTTTTGGGGATTCACCATGAGTGAACCAAACCAAACAGTGCACGGCGCGTCGGCTCACCCTCTGAACATGGCACTGCCAGATCATGTCTTCACCCCCTGCCATGACTTGCGGGTGCGATAGATGGGAATAACCGAGTCCGGGCGTTGTGAATGAACCGAAAGGGGGATTCCCTTAAACGAAACCATAGGCAATGGCTATAGGGGTCATTCCCTCATTCTGCCGAAAACCAGCAAGATGATTGCCCCCATGTCGGGGATTCACATATCTAACAAGCTCACCTCCCTTATGTTTGCCTTATTCCAGATTGTGCTGGATTGCTCCATCCACACGCAAATGAAGAGTCGATGTTTGCTTTGATTCGCCAGAACGAGGACACAGACTCGATCGATCTTGGCAAACAGGGTGGCTGATTGGGGAAGGCTGCCTTGGCAAAAGCCAGGGCTGATACGATTGGTGAAAGCTTGGCAACAAAAGGCACAACCTGAGTTCCGCCCAAAACACTGTCTTTCTGTCTCTCTCTCTCTCTCTCTCCCCCGCTCTCTCTCTCTCTCTCTCTCTCTCTCTCTCTTTCTCTGTGTCTCTCTCTGCAACAGCCAAGTGCAAAAGAAAGCGCAACACACTCATGTTTCATGTGCTGGTACGACTAGAACACGTGCGCACCGAGCACTGTGTGATTGTGTGTTTGTAACTGTGTACAAACAAAAGCGCCTGCCTTGACGTGAATTCTGCTACCAAATTAAGCATGGCGCTTCTCGCCATGAGCACAGGCTTTGTACCCATCCAGCAAAGTCTGCGCTCGTTGGGTTTTTTCAACCCCCCCCCCCCCCAGAATCTTGAAAGGGCGGCAAACCGCCGTTGGGCAGCTTTGGAGCCACACAAATCAGCATCTGGTTTACTGGATGGAGCAGTATGACATGCTACAGTTCAACGGGTCCCTGCCTCATTGTTTTGTGTGAAACTCATTCGAAACTTGCTTGTTGCACTTTTTGCGGGTCCAATGGCAAATCCACTGGTTCAGCCAAAAGTTAAAGTCCAAAGATCCAACCAAATGGCCATAAAGGAAAGCATTGCCAATGGCCATCCTCACCAAACTGAACATGTTGCTTGGTCAAATACGACTTGCGATCCCGGAAAAGTCCCTTTATATCACTCGCATAGTCGTCTCCAATAGAAAACGAGCCCGGAGACCCGTTGTTCATATGCGGATGTCCAACGTAAGGCCTCTAAATGGGTGTCGGGCTCCTCAACCACTATAAGTGGGGTAAGAGGGGTTGTTTCCAGAGTTCCAACCTTGGCTGGAATTAGGACTCCAACAACAAATATGTATTTTGCCTGGTTCGTTCAAAACAAAAGGAACCCCAAAAAAGCAAAACACCAAAAAGGGGAACTCATTCTGGGGAAGACGACCAGGTTGAACATCCTCAAGCCATCGGCAGACTCTCCGACTCTCCCCCACTTTTGGGGACCCGGGCCGGTCTCCTCTACCTCCTGTCGTCCCAAGCCGTCTCCCCTTGATGTGTCCACTACAAACATACTTCCTAAGTCGGAGTCGCTTTCTTGACCTGGCCGGCTTTGCGCCCTGAAATCAAACCGAACTGCACGACCGGAGAATGAGGTTCATGGAAATGCCGTTGTCTAACAAGCAGTGGTTCGGGATTGATGAGACTGTATTGCATTAGGACTAATCTGACAAGGTAAGTATGCATCTTACAACTTAAATTGCCCCCTGCACACCTTGTCAAAAGCGCGGCTAGTGCTTTCTACCAAAAAATGGATTTCCAGCTTTCTTTTCAGCCTGGTGGTACTGGTTAGTGCTTGTTCAAAGATTTCTTCACCAGCAACACCGGGATGAAGGGAAATCTGGACGACTTCTTGGGCCAGAGCTGAGTTGGAAGATGAGCTAAGCCCAGGCTTCGACTTTCGACTTGTCCACGGACATGTTTTCTTCCCCAAAACTTGCATGCTGTTGACCACTCTGCGAAAAGCTTAACTTCTGTGGGTCCAATGGAAAATGAGAGCTGTTTCAACCAAAGACACCAACCAAAAAGCCACAAAGAAAGGGGTTGGGACCACATGGGACCCCATGTTCTGCATAACCAAAAATGCCTCATGCAATTCAACGCTCAACAGTTGCTGCGAACCTCGTAGGATGAATATATTTGCACATTTCTGAAACCAAAGGTATCATTTTCAGGTCGGCAGAAAGGGAAGCGAAAAGGAACACCACGTACCATTTTGGGGGTCCTCCCCTGACCCGCACCCAATGCGGCAGGAACGAAAAACACTCCTCTGAGTGTATTGTTCAGGAAACGGGGCTGTATTTGTGGGGGTTGGATGCGTCAATTGTAAAACATGGCAAGTGGAAGTCCTAGTCACAAGTCCAAAGTGTTGAGCCCGCAAAGGCCAAGCTTTGGGGCGCTGCATTGCTTCCGAACGTCTCAACCAAGCGTCAATGTCGCAGCTGCACGTTTCCCGCTCTTCAAATGCGTCAGTTCAGAACATGGCTCATGCCCCCACAAACGGCCACCTTTTGTGATCGCTCCGAATAATATAAGGACGTCTGTGGTTGCCCCGATGTTCTGCGGTTTGGAAACGGTCCTTTCTTTGGACGGAAGGATTGGTTCACTTGCGCATCTGCTCTGAGGAACATACACGATCACAGGACCTGGAGCACTCCGAAGAACCCTGGCGTTCGCACCATTGACGCAGCCTTTGAGCCTTTCAGCAACGATCCACCCCACAAACAAGTACACGACAGGTGCATGCGATGCCTTTGCACCATAGGACAAGCCCCAGTGCTTTGAGTTCCCTTCAGCGTGGGACTCTATGGCCCACGAAACACCAATCACAACTGTCTCAGCGCATCATGGCTGGCACAGTACCCTTCAGAGCTTATGTGGACTGGGTCCTCCGGTAGAGAGGTTGAAATGATATTCATAAGGGTATCCTTTTCTCTGTAGTCTATTTTAGTAGGGGAACCCTCCCCCAGAAAAGGGGTGAGAAAGGGCACTACTGGGGGACCTAGTGGACCAACAAACATGAGTAGCAACTGCGCACAGCGCATCCAGTCCTTGCGGTAGCTGAGCACACTGGCCACATCCGCATCCTGGTGCAAGCTCCAAGCCGGTTTCAGAATTTGCAGATACACACATTGCAAAGTAAGCCATATAGCTGTGGGTTCCTACGCATATTTATGTGTATATGTGTATATTAAAGCATACATATACATATATATGTTAATATTGCACACTGGGTTTAAGTGGTCTTGGAACACCGCAAAGGCTCCCCAGCCGCTAAAGGCGATGTCCGTCAAGTTTTTTGAAAGGTGTTCATGTCATGTTGTGTTCCTGTGTCTTTCCCCCCGGACATGTACGCACATTTCTATACTTTCGGATGGTCCAGGTACATATGTACTACGCATTCATATGCACAATAAACACATACTTATATAGATACACACGTACATATGTATATATATATATATATATATTATTATATTAATATATATATATATTACATTGTATACAAATAAGTGGATGTCAACATGCGCAGTTGCCTTTGGTTGGCTGTGGCTTCTTTTCAGTTTCATAGCCACCAAATACAACACATTGCATTTTATATCATGCCCTATGTTTGACAAACTGATAAATTGGAGGCCGCCAAGTCGAGACAACATGGCACGCAGAACGCTCTGCTTCGGAGCCGAGCTTGGTTGCAACAAGAGATGTGCGCTGAATCCCCAGCTTCCGAATGAGCCGACATTTTGCAAGCTGCAACGTGCCTGCGGAAACTGCATACAGTGAACCCGAGTCAACATCCTGGTCAATAGAGAACCCTCTTGAGCGTCCTAAAGGCACCAATCTCCATCGCACTGGTTGAGATGAAGCGAACTCTCTCTCCATCCGCAAAATTCGTGCTCGCTGGGCAAGCCCACTCCTGTAAGCCAAACTCAAGATCGGGAAATAGCCCCTTACCAAGCTGGAAAACAGACCGCAAGCACCACCTCATAGGCCTAATCATGGCCATGCCTTGCTAGAAGTGTCGAACATCCTGACACTTCTTGTCTGGGATCGTGTTGCAAGGCCCTACTTCTCGCAAAGGCAAATCTCAGCGCTCACGCCCGCCTTGCGATAGCTTAGTACGCTGGCAGCATCCAAATCCTCGGCCGCAACACAGGCCTCTCATCTTTGCAGTTTGCGTGGCTTGCACGGGTTGGATCGGGGAGTTTGTTTTTTCAGTTTGACGGCGTCTGACTTAGTTCGTTGTTGTTATTTGTGTTGTTATTATTATTATTTTGACGGCGTCTCACATAGTGGTGGCCCTGCTGCTTTGGATCCAATGGCGGCTTTCTGGCGAAACCGACGGTCCTGTCCGAGCACTGCTCATAAGGGTTTACCATACTATAGTGATAAAACATGGTCCATGGTAGCCTGAATTTCTCTGCTAACAGCTGCTGGCATGAAAAGGAGCTTGCCATCCAAATCCGGCTCAACCAGCCACTGCCGCTCTTGCAGCACACTTGTGATTGCTAATGTTGGACCGTCTTTATACGGACCCACCACACCCCCTGAACAGTGGAACCAGTCAGCTGGACCCTCTTTCGTGAAAATCCTGGGGGCTGGGAGGGACAGTGCTTACTTTAGTATTGCCAGTTCTACTTTAGTGTTGCCAAGGCTCCCTCTCAGATTCCCAGTACTTACTTTACTATTGCCAATTCTGCTTTAGCATTGCCAAGGCTGGCTCTCAGCTTCCCAGTACTTAGTTTAGTATTGCCAACTCTGCTTTAGTATTGCCAAGGCCCCCTCTCAGCTTCCCAGTACTTACTTTACTATTGCCAATTCTGCTTTAGTATTGCCAAGGCTGACTCTCAGCTTACCAGTGCTTGCTTTAGTATTGCCAACTCTGCTTTACTATTGCCAAGGCTGACTCTCAGCTTCCCAGTACTCACTTTAGTATTGCCAGTTCTACTTTAGTGTTGCCAAGGCTCCCTCTCAGATTCCCAGTACTTACTTTACTATTGCCAATTCTGCTTTACTATTGCCAAGGCTGACTCTCAGCTTCCCAGTACTTAGTTTAGTATTGCCAACTCTGCTTTAGTATTGCCAAGGCCCCCTCTCAGCTTCCCAGTACTCGCGTTACTATTGCCAATTCTGCTTTAGTGTTGCCAAGGCTCCCTCTCAGATTCCCAGTACTTACTTTACTATTGCCAATTCTGCTTTAGCATTGCCAAGGCTGACTCTCAGCTTCCCAGTACTTAGTTTAGTATTGCCAACTCTGCTTTAGTATTGCCAAGGCCCCCTCTCAGCTTCCCAGTACTCGCGTTACTATTGCCAATTCTGCTTTAGTGTTGCCAAGGCTCCCTCTCAGATTCCCAGTACTTACTTTACTATTGCCAATTCTGCTTTAGCATTGCCAAGGCTGACTCTCAGCTTCCCAGTACTTAGTTTAGTAGTGCCAACTCTGCTTTAGTATTGCCAAGGCCCCCTCTCAGCTTCCCAGTACTTACTTTAGTATTGCCAACTCTGCTTTACTATTGCCAAGGCTGACTCTCAGCTTCCCAGTACTTAGTTTAGTATTGCCAACTCTGCTTTAGTATTGCCAAGGCCCCCTCTCAGCTTCCCAGTACTTACTTTACTATTGCCAATTCTGCTTTAGTATTGCCAAGGCTGACTCTCAGCTTCCCAGTGCTTGCTTTAGTATTGCCAACTCTGCTTTACTATTGCCAAGGCTGACTCTCAGCTTCCCAGTACTCACTTTAGTATTGCCAGTTCTACTTTAGTGTTGCCAAGGCTCCCTCTCAGATTCCCAGTACTTACTTTATTATTGCCAATTCTGCTTTAGCATTGCCAAGGCTGACTCTCAGCTTCCCAGTACTTAGTTTAGTATTGCCAACTCTGCTTTAGTATTGCCAAGGCCCCCTCTCAGCTTCCCAGTACTTACTTTACTATTGCCGATTCTGCTTTAGTATTGCCAAGGCTGACTCTCAGCTTCCCAGTGCTTGCTTTAGTATTGCCAACTCTGCTTTACTATTGCCAAGGCTGACTCTCAGCTTCCCAGTACTCATACTTACTTTAGTATTGCCAACTCTGCTTTAGTATTGCCAAGGCTGACTCTCAGCTTCCCAGTACTTACTTTAGTATTGCCAGTTCTACTTTAGTGTTGACCAGGCCCCCTCTCAGATTCCCAGTACCTCCTTTGCTATTGCCAATTCTGCTTTAGTATTGCCAAGGCTGACTCTCAGCTTCCCAGTACTTACTTTAGTATTGCCAACTCTGCTTTACTATTGCCAAGGCTGACTCTCAGCTTCCCAGTACTTACTTTAGTATTGCCAGTTCTACTTTAGTATTGCCAAGGCCCGCTCTGAGAATTCCAGTACTTACTTTAGTATTGCCAATTCTACTTTAGTGTTGCCAAGGCTGACTCTCAGCTTCCCAGTACTTACTTTAGTATTGCCAGTTCTGCTTTAGTATTGCCAAAACTCCCTCTCAGCTTCCCAGTACTTACCTTAGTATTACCAATTCTGCTTTAGTATTGCCAAAGCTCCCTCTCAGCTTCCCAGTACTTACTTTAGTATTCCCAATTCTGCTTTATTATTGCCAAAGCTCCCTCTCAGATTTCCAGTACTTACTTTTCTGTTGCCAACACTACTTTAGTATTGCCAAGGCTGACTCTCAGCTTCCCAGTACTTGCTTTAGTTTTGCCAATTCTGCTTCAGTATTGCCAAGGCCCCCTCTCAGCTTCCCAGTACTTACTTTAGTATTGCCAATTCTGCTTTAGTATTGCCCAGGCCCCGTCTCAGATTCCCAGTACTTACTTTCGTATTGCCAGTTCTACTTTAGTATTGCCAACGCTCCCTCTCAGCTTCCCAGTACTTACTTTAGTATTGCCAATTCTGCTTTAGTATTGCCAAAGCTCCCTCTCAGCCTCCCAGTACTTACTTTAGTATTGCCAATTCGGCTTTAGTATTGCCAAGGCTGACTCTCAGCTTCCCAGTACTTCCTTTAGCACCGCGAGTTCTACTTTAGTGTTGACCAGGCCCCCTCTCAGATTCCCAGTACCTCCTTTACTATTGCCAATTCTGCTTTAGTATTGCCAAGGCTGACTCTCAGCTTCCCAGTACTTACTTTAGTATTGCCAACTCTGCTTTACTATTGCCAAGGCTGACTCTCAGCTTCCCAGTACTTACTTTAGTATTGCCAGTTCTACTTTAGTGTTGCCAAGGCTGACTCTCAGCTTCCCAGTACTTACTTTAGTATTGCCAATTCTACTTTAGTGTTGCCAAGGCTGACTGACTCTCAGCTTCCCAGTACTTACTTTAGTATTGCCAGTTCTACTTTAGTGTTGCCAAGGCTGACTCTCAGCTTCCCAGTACTTACTTTACTATTGCCAATTCTGCTTTAGTATTGCCAAAGCTCCCTCTCAGATTTCCAGTACTTACTCTAGTATTGCCAATTCTACTTTAGTATTGCCAAAGCTCCCTCTCAGCTTCCCAGTACTTACTTTAGTATTGCCACTTCTGCTTTAATATTGCCAAAGCTCCCTCTCAGCTTCCCAGTACTTACTTTAGTATTGCCAAATCTGCTTTAGTATTGCCAAGGCTGACTCTCAGATTTCCGGTACTTACTTTTGTGTTGCCAATTCTACTTTAGCATTGCCAAGGCTGACTCTCAGCTTCCCAGTGCTTACTTTAGTATTGCCAATGCTGCTTTAGTATTGCCAAACCTCCCTCTCAGATTTCCAGTACTTACTTTAGTATTGCCAAGTCTACTTTAGTATTGCCAAAGCTCCCTCTCAGCTTCCCAGTACTTACTTTAGTATTGCCAATTCTGCTTTAGTATTGCCAAACCTCCCTCTCAGATTTCCAGTACTTACTTTAGTATTGCCAAGTCTACTTTAGTTTTGCCAACGCTGAGTCTCAGCTTCCCAATACTTACTTTAGCATTGCCAATTCTAGTTTGGCTTTCAGTTTTCAGCAACCCCTAAAGCAGCTGGACACTAAAGAGGACACCAACACAGGCAGACTAAAGTGGATCAGGGGCTCTTGTGGGCACCCCCCTTTGTGTGACTGATTGCCGCACATTTGTGTAAAGAAGTTGTCTTAAATTTGATGGTTTGGGGACCACTTCAAAAAAAGATTTCCCAATGTTTGCCAGGATTCGTTTGCCCATTATTTTGCCCGACTTGTTTGCCAAGTTTTTCGCCCATATTTTCTCCAGCGTTGTTTCCGGCAAAAAACCTTTCCACGATAAAGGCCCCCTAAAACAGTCACAGGATACTGAGTTAGCTAAAAAGTTTCTACAATGGAGGGTACCATTACTAAAGGAGGTCTAACATTACCCCACGTGGTTTCAGGCAGCTGGCCATGTCACGGAAGCTCTCGTGTTTGGCTCTGTGCTATAAGCACCCCGTTCAACCACATACTCGCCCTGGCTTGCTTCCTGACCCTCTCAGCTGCCCTCTGGAAGGTTGACACCGTCGAATCCAGAATCCCCAAAAACACTTGTGAGTTGCTGCGCATCCTTCCACAACCAAATGTTAGTATCAAACATGTGGCAGTACAATCAAGACGATCGCATTCTCCCCCGGGCCGTGTTCCTTTAAATCCAAGTCCCCCTCCCCAAGCTTGGAAGATGTTTCCAGCTTCAGCGGCAAAACTGTGTGACCGAAATGTCAGACCTGGTCAGAACTGCAATGTTGGGTGAACGGAAGCGACTGATTTTAATGCAACTCATGCATACTCACTCAGGATGCATCAGAATAACAGAAACCATTCCGAACACACAAACCTATCAATTGAAGTGATGATAACATTGGTCCCAATTCAGCACCTTTGAATGGCAAACACGAGGAGGGCAAACGATGATGTTCTATCGCCTCGTAAAATTTCTAGTTGATTGTACATAGGGAGCGAGACGGTTGGATCGGGCAAAGATCAACTCTGAGGTAATCAAAGGCGCAATTCCAGAGCCGAACAGGGTTTCCGCCCCCAAATTACAGCTAGTGAGTGGTGCCTCTAGCTGCATTGGCCCTGATCATGCGCGTGTTGGTGTCAAATTGCTCATTCATACCCTTCCCCTGTGACCTCGGGCAGAGAGGAGAGGACTCTTCACCGACTTCTTACGAAGCAGCTCGCCTCAGTCGACACTTCGTCGCAAAAGATACGCCAAAGGAAGCCAAACCCATGTTCTAGCCTGAAGGCTTGCTCGACTTTGATTGGATCACAACAACCGTGTTTACACTACTAGGACAAAATTGTGCCTCTTGGGCCTTCTTGGGGCACACAACCCTCTCTACTCAAGTTGTTGCTGTGTGCTTCGCAGGGTCGAATTTCCACACTCCGACGCCTTTAAAGTATTTTGGACTTAAACCGAAGGTGATAATTGACCATCCCACTCCTGCCACAGAAAATACAGTTGGAGATTCGATCCGCGGTGATGCCCACGCCTTGCAGAAACAAGTAAGCGGCATAAACGTATGTCCTCCTGATGTAGCGGTTCGTTTTGCAACAGCCAAATGTACAAAAATTCCAAGTCAAGAAGGATCCGTTGGCGCGAGTCTTCGCAAATCCTTCCCTGGCATTACGGAATGACAAAGCCTTCTTCTGCATGCATGGGGCACTGGAGAGGGGTTAAACACCTCGATCTGGAGGATCCTGGCTGGCGCATGTGAGTTCCTGCCATAGATGGGCCTTCGCATCCTTTTGGCAGCTCAGCCGGTCTGCGAAAAATGAGTCAGCAACCCCGAGCCTAGTGCATGTACCCACCTTCAGCAATCACCAAGCTGTAGTGAAACATATTATGATTGAAGTTCGTGGATCAACGTACCTTTAAATGGCGGGGACAACAAGCAACGAATCTGAAACAATGCTTAAGATAACCTGGCAATACATTCACTCACCATTCGGACATCCCTGTAAGACGCACAACATGATTTCTGGAAGACGCACAACATGATCTCTTTCAAGTTCTTGAAGCCCTACCCAGCTTCCCTGTCTTTTTCAGACTCTTCATTAATTTTCGGTGGCCGGGGGAGGGGGGGGGACACTTCGGCCACACCAAAAAAGACGCCGCCGGCCCCGGCTGGCGATCTCCGCGCTCCGCGGCGTGGCCAAGGGCACCTCGAATCCACTCGGATGGCCCTGGATTTGAACGCCATGCGTAAGAATGGGGGTGATTCAGCCTCCCTCTACTTAATGGTTTGGTGCGGCAAACACCATAAAAAGTCAGCGCGAAGAGTTTGACTCACTTTTAGTGGGTGAAATGGAAGCCACGAAACACTGAAAGGCTAAAAAGCTAAGGGGATGGCTGGGAGCCGCCAAGTTAAGAATCGGGGGTGATTCCGCCTCCCTCTCATTGATTTTTTGGATTGCTAAGGCATGTTTTGCCTTCCCGGCGCGAGCCATCAGCTTCCCTCTAACTGGGGTTTCTGGTCTTTTTTGGTGGCTTTGGTGTTGGTTAGGGGTGGTTCCCATTCACCCCCTCTAATTACAAGAACCAGAGGTTCAAATCCCCAAACCAATCCACTTGCTTGCGCGACCATTGGCGTGAGAGCTGTGGAAGCCAAGTAGCAAAAGCAAAAGCACTTGCTGTTGTGTCCTCGAAGCCTGCAGAACGACACGCCCATCACATTTCTCCGAGTGTGACCATGTTGCTGACTTGTGCCTGCTGAGCTGGAGTCTACAAACCTTGGTTTGTGAGCAAAAGGGGGAGCTTCCCACTATAACTTCTTCCTGAACATGTGCACGCGTCACACACCATAAGGAGCTGTCGGAAGGTCCCATTCGCGCACGTTCCGCTCAGAGCTGCATTTTGTTTTGGCTCCTGTGGCTCCCTGCGGCTCGAGGCTCCTCCTGCTCTGGTGACCTAGGCCAGCAGGGCTCCTTAAAAGATACCTTTTGCAACCAGTTGAAAAATGGCATTTTCAACACCAAAATAAAGGGAAACCCACCATTTACAAGTGGCAATGTTCAGGTGGTGTTCATGCATCCGGGTTTCTTTGGTCGACACCTGTGAAGGCAATGTCCAGTGTCACTCTAGTGTAAGAAGCCTTCAGAAAGTTATTCAAGTTAAGCTAACAACCCACCTACCCTGCTCCATATTTAGTGGCCTTGGTCCAAAGGCTCCCTGACGTTGACTCCTTGAACCTTCATAAGTGTTGCTTCTGCACCTGGACACCCAGTTCTGTTTCACAGGTACCAAAACACCTGCGCCCCCTGGCCTCTCTTGATTTTCCTGCTTCTCCTGATCCAGCTTTTCTTTCGACTCCTTCCTCGGCGCCTGGCACGGAAGACATGTGGCCCTTGACCACACTTGGGTATTAAAATCCGAAGCTGCCCCAAACATGAAGTCCAACGGAAACCACCGTCCAACGCTTCATATCAAAACCAACAAACTGTGTCCGTCGCTTGCTTCTGTTCTGAGCCGCTTGCTTCGACTGCCCCAGACCTCCCTCTGACTGCCTAGGAGTCCGGCTCCGCACGTTTGGCCTAGTATCGGGCTTCGAAATAACCCGCACCCAACAAGAACAAGACTGAGTTTTCCACCCCCTCACCAAAGGGAACCCCAGTTGATGATCTCCACCAAACCCAACTCACCAAGTCCCAAGGGTTGATAACTTCCCAACCCAATTTCACCAAAACACCCGGTTGGAGTGGGCTACTCACTTCCTGAGTGGATTGGCCCAAAAAAGCGACAAACTTTGTATTTACCCCTAAAATCGTCCAAACCCAAAAAGTGACTAACGTCCATGAACTCAGCGAGTAGGTAGAGTAATCCCGACCAACCCAATTCACCAAACGTCCCAAACTGCCGGTTGGAGTGAGGTGAAAACTCCCCCCAGCACTAGGAGCATAAAACGGCCGCAGCGTATTCACACAAGGCCCAAAACACAAGAAAAGAACACCCTAAACGTTAAAGGCCTGGTGCACTGCTTTTAGCCCTTTTAGCCCAAACTTCTATCAGACCCTCATGCCAGAAAATCTCACTTGTTCCAATTAATTCAACAAACCTTGTAAACTCCCGGTTAGAGTGAGGTAAAAACTGCCCCCCCCCGCGCCGCCGGATCCCATTGGACCCGATTTCTGCCTGGGAGATCGCCGCTGCGGCGCTCTTCAGCTGCGCCGACGCTTCCAGCTGCGAGGGCGGGTGGGACGCCAGCAGCGCGCTGTCCGCGTTCGCCACCGCCAGGGCCATGTCCTCACGGGGAGATGCGGTGACTCGAGACCGAATGGGTCAAATGGATGGGAGCGCCCAAAATGGAACCCTGGTAAAAGGGAAAGTAATGCGAGTGGCTCAAAAACATGGGGAGGGCCCAACATGGAACATTCCGTGTTTTTTTGGAGAAAGACCTGCGAAACTTCAGCTGTTTAAGTTTGAGCCACACGCGCAAGTAAGTCTGAACAAAGTCACAAACCCATCCCCGTTTGGTTCAGGACAAGTAAACAAAAGGGGCTATTCTTCATGTAGCTGCGGGCGTCACATGGGCGGATTGCACGAGTTTCACTGGGGTAGCGTTAGAGTATCCACAGCGGTGCCGGAAAACGACTGGTGTCATTTCCAGAAATGGGTTTTCATTGCTCAAGCCACAGCAGTGGCCAATAGCGTGATACACCAGGCTGCATTCCTTGGCTGAATCACTCCACACTCATGTCCAAGGGGTGGGGTAGCGGTTTATCTCTGTTTGAGTCCCCGATCGTTTTCTGCGGAACCTAACATTTGGAAATAAATGAAGCACATGTACCAAAATGGTCTTTGAGTCTTGATAGTTTTGAGGTTGGTTTAATGAAGACATACTTTTGACGGGAAGGTTGGCCCTAGCTTTTGTCGCCTTCTCCAAACAAGTTGGGCGAGTGCAGGTTCGTGTTAACAAAGAAAACTAACATGAACACCACACACATTCTCCGCGTGAATCAGAAACATGTCTGGATCCCCTTCTTTTCCGTACAGTCCAGCACCGATTTGCGCTTTTCAACCGAAAACCTCCAGCCATGTCAACACCCGTCCTGCAGGGTTTCCTCCAGCGTGGGAGGATGCACAGGCCCGATGCGCGCCAAGCGCGAGAGGTGCTGGCGGGCGAAAGCGGGAGACACAGGATATGGGGGGGAAGAGTACACAAAGAAATAACCGGAACTGTGCCATCTACCTTCACCCAATAGGGTACCAGACAAGAAATGAATGCGTTTCTTTGCTTTGGCTCAGACAAATTGCCGCCCTCGTCAATTATAGAGGTTCCAGAAAGGTTTGCAAGGCGCTAGGCTGCGAGTCGAGCTCTGGAAGGGAGTAATCGACGAATTAATTGGGTTCAACAATACACATATGTATAGTAGAATACACATACAGCACATATACATATATATATATATATATCTATCTATCCAGGCCAAACTGACGGAGCACACACATTGATGTAAGAAAAGAGAACATCATATTTAGTGTCCGTGCCATCGTGGCCTCAACGTCACCGCAAAGAAACCGCCTTCGCTCTCAAACCGTCCCTAAAGAACCCCCCTTGATCCAAACCTCCAACTCAACCCAAAAGAACCCCAAAAGAACCCCAAAGAACGATGCTGGGGATATTGACACACTTTGTGCGACGAACAGATTGCCCCGAATGTCTACGTACACTTTTAGGGCTGGTTTAGGGCTGAGGGAATTGGAAGATGTTCCAACCCAATGCCCTCCCCTAAACTCAAGCATTTCCAGAATGACGATCAAAAAGCAAACACCGTAGTTGCTGGCCGGTGCATCCTGCCGTTAGTTAGTACACCCTACATCAAATGAGCAAACATGTTCCTGCTTGGACTCCAAGTTCAAAACACAGACACCAACATAACCAACATGAACACACACACACACAAACACGCACACGCACACGCACACGCACACGCACACGCACACGCACACGCACACGCACACGCACACGCACACGCACACGCACACGCACACGCACACGCACACGCACACGCACACGCACACGCACACGCACACGCACACGCACACGCACACGCACACGCACACGCACACGCACACGCACACGCACACGCACACGCACACACACACACACACACACACACACACACACACACACACACACACACACACACACACACACACACACACACACACACACACACACACACACACACACACACACACACGCGCCCACGCCCACGCGCACGCGCACGCGCACGCGCACGCGCACCCGCACACCCGCACAGCCGCACAGCCGCACACCCGCACACACACGCACACCTGCACACCCGCACACACACACGCACACCCGCACACCCGCACACACGCACACACACACGCACACACGCACGCACGCACGCACGCACGCACACACGCACGCACACACGCACACGTCACTCAGTTGGCAAGACACATCGTGACGAGGCAAATTCAGCACTCATCCTAGCAGCATTCCTCTGCCAGGGAGAGACAGGTCTTTGGTTAAGGGTACGGCCAGCGCACTCCCGATTTGCAAACGAAGGTTTGAATCCTTGGTGATTCTCATGTCATAGACCTACTTCCTGAGTGGATGGGCCAAAAAATCTAAACTTGCGGTTACCATCACAATGGTCTTTCAGAAAAGTTTAAAGTTCATGAACTCAGAGTTGCTCATGTTTGGGCACAAGAGTCAGGAGGAGCCTCGTCCTCTTCCATGGACTGCAAAAGCCCGCTGAGAGTCACCTCCTGCCGTCCAGCGCCCGAATTGCACTGCCGATTCTAACATTTGGAATCGGAGATGCGGCAGCATCTACCCCACTAACATGGCAACTGACAAAGGGTCCCTTGAAGAAATCCATGTTGCAGGTACCCTCCCACAAATGCTATAGTGGGAGGAAGGGTGGCATCTGCAGACATGTCGAACAAAATCCCTAAGAAATCGCGGTGGACCAAACCAACGAGCTTCCGTCGCCTTGAAGCCAGCAAAGACAGGAAGAGGATCACAGAAAAGATAAGAACCAATTAGTAGCTCACTGCACGCAACCATGCTAAGTAGGGACAAACGTGCAACACATGCACGGAACCTGAAGGATGACACACAAAGAGAAAACCCAAGCAAGCAGCAAGGCAGCACATATATATGTCTATCTTAAGAATTGGAACGACAACAACTTGGCAATTCTGTGAAATCTGACCACCAGGTATGTTCACTAGAAGATCACATGTTGGCAACAAACCGAATTTGACAACTCATCAACACCTACAACAGCACACACTTTAAGCAACTAACGGCGGCAGCGGCAATATCATCATCATCATCATCGCCATCATCGCCATCGTCATCATGAGGCTAGCCGTTGTGTGAGTACCTCACACATTTGCACTCCCTGCATGTGTGACTTTTGGCCAAGGTTCAATCATGCTCTGTGCTGCTCGCATAAGAAGCGAGCACTGATTCTTGCAGGACTGACAAAATCATGTGGTAGTTGGTCCAACTGATGTTTATTCGCAAAAACATGCATATCCATATATATATATATATGTTCTATTATATATATATATATAATATCTCTTTGGATGCTGGACATTTCGTGAAGTTTCCTGCCAAACCAAAAAGCACAGCACACCTCACCTGATTTGTTGGGAATCCAGACATGGCATGTATCAGGTACTTGCACTACTCACAAGGCCGGTGATCTGCGTGGATTGTGTTTCGCAGCGGACAAGTACATTGGCACACGAGCTATCTTTCCCCTCACCGAAAGGAAACCCACTTGGAATCGGCCAAGTTTGGGTGATGCTTCAAACCAGCCTTTAGGCAACGGCTTTGAAACACAAACCCGTGAGGTGCCTGGAATGTCTCATTTCCGCCTGAAAAGTGATCCAAGATCGCCCATGGGGCGACTTTCGGACGACACCGGATCAATGCGCGGGGATGGCAGATAGACTATGGGTATACTCACCAGACCAGTTTTGGGACGCACATGGTTTCCCATAAGGGAAGCCGTTGAGGTCGCAAAGAAAAGTTTCCTTGACTGTCCTCAGATTCCCTGCCAAAAGCTTAACTTTTAGCCGCTAGAAACCTAATGAACCCGACGGCTGGGAACCAAGTAGTTCAGGCACCACATTTCCGCTTGCCCCATCCGCATGAAGGCACGCGATGAGCCGGACCGCATCGCAGCCCTCGCCTGGTTCCGCGGCATCTTGTTGCCTCGATCCTGGACATTTCTTCCACCCAATGGGAAGCTGCTGCTGTCTAACGGATGGGCTCCACTGGGAAGCTGCTGCTGTCTAACGGATGCTAAGATAACAATGCGTTTCGAAAGTCGCGTGGGGACAGTTCCGATGTGTTCAGGCTATGGACTCTACTTCCGAAACAATCGAATTCGACGGTGAGGAAGATAGTAAACTTAGGGACGTAAGGCAGCAACGTCCCAAGGGAGCTTCCCATTCTGAAGTGTGAGCATTTACTGGCCTCGTACCACACCACCACAAAGAAAGCCCTTTTGCAATTCCTTCTGGCCTTGGGATCTGGTTGGGTCTCAAAGCAACTCTGCCAACATGTCAGAGCTAGGTGCATGGATGGGCTTGCTCATCGACCCACGACGCTTTTTGGGTAGCCTATGGGCCCCTGACAATGAAGGTCACGACCGAGTCAGTGTTTCTACCAAAGTTGGCGCGTACACCCATAAAAAAGGACGCGGCCGATTTGATGAGCAACATCATGGGAGTCATGTCTACTCCAACAACAGTCAGAAAGTGGAAAAGTACTGGTGGCATCTTTGTGTGGGGCAGCCTTTTTGGGGTTGGGACACCACATTTGTTGAGGGTGTGGTGGGGTTTGGTCTCAACAGTGCCTGATCCTTTGACCCAGTGAGGGTAGGGTGTTCCACTTGACTCACCCAACGCTTGACTTACCTAGGCTATTCCGCATGAGATACACCCCAGCTTGAAACATCGAAACCCCGGCTCGGCTCTCCTTCAATCGAGTCGGCTCCTGGCTCGAGATTTTTCCTCTCCACTCACCAAGTGACTTGCGGCCGTGGCTCAACAAATTGGGTTACTCCACAACACCGAAGGTGTAGGAATAAAACAACAATCTGAGGTGGAAGATCGACTTACTCGTGCAGGGATCCCTCGTCGGGTGCCACAAAAGTGGGAGGGAGGCTGGCAATAGAAAACTTGACTTGCTGAAACATGCTCAAACCCAACATGAGCTGCGCAACCACGCATCTGCAAACCAGTTTAGGACTTGCAATCTGGTGGATGTGAAGGCGAAACAAACATACCGAGTGAGCCTTCGTGACCCATGTGGAACAACCTGGGAAAGCGCGCTCTGGCACCTTGCGTCCCAAAATGTCAAGCCAAATGACTCCAATCGGGACTGGCTATGCACCGGAGATGGTCTCTGGTCGCAAGTGCCCCATGTGCAAGGCTTGGACGGCGAAAAGCCAAGGCTTGCCTGATAAGCCGCCCAACCGCCCACCTGTGTCCGGTGCATCCATGGAACAAGTGAACAAAACTAAACCATTGAGCAACCTTCCACGAATGCTCTGACAGGCCGGGAAACGTCAACGTCTCCCTGAGCATGGGCAGCGTGGGACAAATATCTATATAGGTGTATGATATGCTTGCTTGACTTGTGCTGACTACTGAGGCCCAAGCCCCCAAACATACATCATATATGCCATCCCAGCTGGAATTGCCGTTGCACCAAACCCACAGAAGCAAGACCTCACACAAGTCATGCCAACGGGCAACGGGTAGCCTCAGACTGCGGTTCTTCACCATGGCATGGGATCCACGCAGCCCCACTCCGGTCCGCCTGCGCTTCGGCCAGAAGGCACTTGGCCTGGCAAGACCGAGGTGGATAGAAGTGCTTTGGAAGATCACAATGTTCAAAAGGCCAGTACGGACAACTCGAAGACCAGAACTTGTCTGGAATGTGCAAGTAGAGAACAACAATGTGCAGGCTTAGCAGCTTTCTTAAGGATGCAGATCCACATAAAGAGCCCCCCCTCTTTGACCCAGTTGCGGGTGCCTGAACGGCCAAGCTTTGCAAGATTTCTTCTGAACATGACTTTTTTCAGAGAAACACATTGGTGAGCCCAAGCAGGTCCCGACATGGGTGTGTCTTTTTAAGTGACACGTTGTTGGAATGGTTTCAAAGGAAAAGCGAGGCAGGAATCACGAGAAATCACCACAGTCTTGGGCTTCGAAATTCGGACGAAGCTACACATGAGGAAGTGAATGCCATCGAGAATTGCTCAAAGCGCGGCTTCAGGACAGGGCAGGAACCAACTTTCACGTGGCAATTCCGACTCAAAAATGCTGACATGTCGGGCAGCAGCGCCAGTAATCTCCACTTCCTGGCAATGAATTTGTTCCCATGTTGCATCAAACTAGGTGACCCGTGGTGAGTATGTTTAGACAATTTCTGACTTCGCCAAACCGAAGCCGGGGATCCTCCCAATGCTCCCAAGCGCGCCCCTTCCTGCCTCACTTTCTTGCACCTCCTAGGCAGGCAAGCAACTCTGGAGCCATTAAGGTAAAGCGAGATCTCAGTTCAAAAGCAACCCTATTGCGGTTCTCTGCTTTAATTGTAGCTCCGTTGAACGAGCGACGCGAGAATAGAACATAATCGAACCCCTTGAAAAAAAGCAGTCAAAATAGCTACCTGTAGAGGCCATTGCTCGTTCGGAGTTGGATCGCTGGCAGCTTGCTGCAAAAAAAATTGCCAGGGCACAAGTCTCCGACATTTGCAATGAAGGCTGAACTACAGGAATTGCCCACAATTCTGGCAGCATGAGGCAAAAGAAAACAACATGCTGTTGGGCCATGGGTGGTTCAAGGGCTGGCTGGCTGGCTGGCTGGCTGGCTGGCTGGCTGGCTGGCTGGCTGGCTGGCTGGCTGGCTGGAAGGCTGGCTCAGTGATGATTTGTTTGGGTGGATGGCCTGCTGCCTGCAGGTTTGGCTTCTTTATTGGCGCCTGAGTTGCGGCTCTCTGCTTCGCTATGTGGGTATGGGTCAAAATGAAACCACCAGGGGACCGCGGGTTTTAGTCCTTCGTTCCATTTGCCAGGGTTCCAGCTTGGGCACATTTTTTTGGCCCACATGTCTTGTTGTTTTGTTCCAACCTCACAGCATCATCGCCTTGGGATGATCCATTCCTTGGTTGATGCTTGGCTGGTCAGGTAGTTGTCATGTGTGCCAGGCAGGATGGCCTCGAAGTAATCGGGAAAGCATTTGGGTCATGTCCCTGGAATAGAAAGGAAGAACATCTTCATTCAATGTCAATTGCGCCATGCTCAACTCACATCCAGCGCCCATACTCCACTAATTATCTAACCTGACAGACTGCATGATTTGAACCTCAGATGGCCATAGGTCAAAACCCCGTACCCCCAGTGAACATCCCAATCCCCACGAAAATAGACTAAAATGGGTGGTGCACCTACCCCAATCTGGTACCATTGGTTTTGACCCACAGCCAGATGTATGAGAGTGCAAAAGAAGCCGCTGAATAGGGACGGCCGCCCGATAGATTTTCTGTCGAGTGGTCCTGTCCGAGGGAGGAGTCCAAAACGGCCCGCAACGTGGTCCCGTCCTCGCCGCCCTGCGGATGGCTGAAAGGGGCTTCGGCGCTACTAGCAACTCAAGGACGGCACACCGGGCTCAAAGGCTTCATACAGACCAACAAGACATGGCCGCCAAGTGCTTCTAAAGAATGGACGCTAGAAGTCCCTGTGTGTGGGCCTGCTGGTGTAAGTGGTGCGTGTGAATGCGAGTGTGATTGTGAATATGTATGTAGAATATATATATATATATATATATATGTATATATGTATATATGTATATGTATATATGTATGTATGTGCACAACTATATGAAATAGTCTGAACTAATATGTATTGATATGTATTGATATGTGGATAACGTGTCAATGTATTTTGTCTCTCTTCGCGCGGAGCCCTTGCACGTCACCCCCTTGCCTCTGCCAGCTGCTCGCCCTGCGCGGGCTTCGGCTTGGAGTTTGTCTCCAGGAACCGTCCAACGGCTTCCTTGTGATTTCCCTTCGCAACCCAAGAAAGGGCCCTCAAAAGACACACAGTAACTGGTGTTTTGGGGGTTTGACCCGCCTTGAAAGAAAGCCAGCAATTGGACGGTTCAGTTTGGGCTCATTCCCTCCCTTTCTCCATCAAAACATATCGAAAGGTTTTGACCCCTGGAGGAAAGAGGATGGGTTTGCCATTAACCCTCTACAAGGGGTTCAAAATTCGAACCAATCCAAACCACCAGTTAGGTTTAGGTTGCCTGACATATGGTTGTGGGTCAAAACCTAGGGTGCCTTTTTGGGGATGGTTTCCACTCCACTGTTGTCGGCTTTCTGGGTGTGTCACCGCGGGGTTTTGACCCATAGCCCCACCAGTCGCTTTGGCCAATTCGCATCCTCTCCGGCGCCTCTAGCTCGAGCCACTGGCTGGACACTGAGAGCCTCAGAGATCTCGGGGAGGGGGGGGTGGGGGGGGTGGGGGGGGGGACATGGGTGGGGGCAGGGGGGGCGGAGGGGAAGGGAAGTGGGGGGGGGGAAGTTTTTAATCCCAAAATGATGCGCTTGACTCGTGAAGCACTATACAGCATCTGTTATTGCAGAAGGGGTTATACCGCCTTTCCACTGTGACACACTGAACACATTGGCCGAAATGTGCCTCGTTCTTGGGAAGTTCAACGGTACCATGGCAGGAACATACCTCTTCACCAATGTAACCAACGAACAAGGCCTGCGGAAAGCATTTCAAATCAGGCTGTGCTTCCTTCAGGCACGGAACACATATCCCAAGCTATCGCCTTTTCTGAAAAGCTTGAACCACTCGCCGCGCGCTTTTTTTTGTTTTGTGTTGCCACTGCTCTTTCCCCCCTTTTGATCCCGCGCTGTGCAACTCAGTGCCCCTTAGAAGGTGAGCGGCTCACAAACTGTTCGAACGTAACCGCAAGCCTCCAAAAAAGGTGTTGGAACGGTGCCATATTCTGAAACAGGGGTCCTATGTGCTCAGCAACATGTCCAGGATGGTCAGTATCCATGGTGGTCCCCGTTGAGGGAACATCGATGAATCTCTCTTTTCATGCATGCACGGTTGCCTCCATCAGGCGAATTCTGGCGAGGTGCCGTGTTGGACCATCCACAACAGATTCGTGCCTCACCTGCCAAGTCGTTCACTATAGAATAAATATCTAAAACTTCCTGTCAAAGGGCCAACTCCAACAGACACAACTAACATCAGCTGCGAATGGCCAAGCCCCCACTCAAACAGCCCACGGAATCCGTGGTGCGTCCGCACTCGGTCATCTAAAAGTCCAGCTGCGCGTGTCACTGCACAACGTCAAGCTGGTGGGACTTGGGATGAAAACGCTTCATGGAGACCTTCAAGCATTGATGAGATGCCCAACCGAGACAGCTGCAAGCAGGGAGGCTGGCGCAGCAATGTAGCAGGTTGAAATTGCAGCAAAGTTGGTTGCTGTGGTAGCCATGATTGTCATCTTATTGTCATTTATTGTCCGTGACGGTCGACTCCTCGAACGCGGTCGATGTCGTTGTTGTGTTCTTGGAGGCGAAGGCTGGGCGAAGCAGCATCAGGGCAGCAAGGCATCATGTCGAGATAATCACTCTAGTATGGTGCAGCTACTTGAGGGAAAATATGGCTGCAACGCCGCAGAATCCTTCCTGTTGCACGCAGGCCGTTTTCAGTTTTCCTTGGCTGCCGCATTGAGGGAAGCGGTTCGGGATGAGCTCTTTATGCCAAAGAACTGCTCAGGCTTTCAAGTGTTGCGCACTACCCCGAATACTTTTGGGCAGGTGTTCCCGCCAAAAGAGTCGGACCCCCTCTAAACTGGGACGCCCCGCCTATTCATCAAGCAAAGGTTTATCCGGGTTTCCACAACTCTATAAAACTGCCGTGCCATCATCCCATGCAAGGCTTGTTGGTCCCCAACAATGCCCAATATGATACGGTCAACATGCTGAAAAAGTGTGTGTGTGTGTGTGTGTGTGTGTGTGTGTGTGTGTGTGTGTGTGTGTGTGTGTGTGTGTGTGTGTGTGTGTGTGTGTGTGTGTGTGTGTGTGTGTGTGTGTGTGTGTGTGTGTGTGTGTTTGTGCGAACGCGTGCGCGCGGGGCGAGTTCCAGATCCACTCTGCACCAAGCAGGGTGCCATCCGTTTGCGCGATGGCCCAAAGCAGCAGCAGCCGTTCTAGGGCTACCTTCTTTTCAGGGATAATTCTTTTCCAGTGATCCGAATGTTTTCAGGAAACAATCAAAAACCCGGGGAATCAGATAGTTTTTGAAAAGAACGATGGTTGAAAAGAATGGGGAATCAACCCCTAGAACTGCGTCGAATTTGGTGCTATGAGAGAACAACGCAGCCCGCCTCCCAGCGTCCGCAGAAGGAACTATCACGTTCCTTTTGCTTGGTTTCAGGAAACAAACACATTCGCCAACCCTTCATAAATGCTATTTCTTTGGGGAAAAATCCCAAAAGCCGGATTCCCCGTGTGGTCTTTGGCCCGCAGCATTTTCCGCCTTTCAGAATTTCAGGTGCGAAACAACTCCTCCACCACGCTCTTGTCGGGGAACAAGTCGCTCCGCGCAGCGGCTCCGCCGCTTTGCGGCACCAGGAGCATCTTACGACTCAGAAAGTCCACGGTCGAGGGGAACTCCGCCTGAGATCCAGGAACTTCTCCAGGGATTGAATGCGTGTCTTATTTCTTTGGGGGAACCCTCAAAATGGTGGTCTTCCTCCTGGTGTCCCGAAAAGAAAAACAAGAGAAACAACAAAACAGCCAAAAAGGAGGATACATGCAACAAAAAGACGTCGTTTCTAGGATGGTACCCTTGTGGTTCGTCCTTCCGAGTTGGTACCCCATTGAGTCGCCAACGGCTGCTGTTTTCCATGTTCCAACACCCCAGCTGCCCAAAGGTGAGATTCAGGGGCAGCACGTTGAGGCGAAGGGTACTTTGCAGGATGGTTTCAAGGCAAACCCAAACGGACACAAGCGATTTTTGAGGCCTGCCCCATTTTGAGACAAACAAATGCCGATCCCGTTTTGACTTCCCTCTTTTTTTGGCTCCCCGTTGTGCAGGAAACTCGGGAGTTAGCCCCTGACTACCCATTAGTTGCTCATATGAGTGGTGGTGTTTATTCCCTTTGAATTTGCATTGACGTATCAAACCCTTCCGCGAAACCTTCCGCGAAGCTTCCGCGCTGTGAAGGGTACCTTCCGCGAACATGTTTCTACATAAGTTTGTACAAGCGCTTCCGCGGGCCTTCCGCAGGCAAGTTGCTTCTGGAAACTGAGGAAGGTAGCTTACGCGAGGGAATTCGTGCGTACGGTTTGCTAGTAAACGTGCTTGGCCACAACTACCACCCAACCGAAATCAAGCTACTATGTGCAAATCAAAAGGGTCCCTTCTGCGAGCTTCCGCGGGGGAAAAAAAAAACTTCCGCAAACCTTCCGCGAAACGTCACATTTTTGGTTGATATGTCAACATCTATACATGTTTGCTTGAGCGGAAAAAATAAAAATCGCCACTATGAAGATAAATTTGTGCCGAAACTAAACCTAACAAGCGGAACAGGTATGCCTTTGCCAGAAAGTAAGAGGATCAACAGCATAGACAACATCATGTATAGTGAGCAAATCCTGTATAAATGAAAGGGGTACCAAAGCATGGCACAGCCTCTTGGAAAAGGGGTTTGTGCACTTCCATGTTAGTTGGTGGGAGGGTAAATGCTGAAGGCAAGCTGCTCACCCCAAGATACTCGCAGATCCTTGCTACCCTCGGACCCTTCTCAATTCGCTTCCAGCGAAATGATTGACATCAGGGCCAAGAGCACCCTCATTCCAAATTGAACCTATCAACAAACGGGGTCTCATTTTGAGGGTACCCTTTCTTGTGTGGTTTCAAACGGAAACCGAAAGGAAACTGGCCCTTTCTTGGGTCGTCCGTAAAAAAAAAGACAACGGGTAGAACTGGAGACCTTGTCTTGCTGGCGCGCAGTAGAAATGAGCCAAGATTCTGGGAATGAACCGGAACGGGATTCCCTTAAAGAAAACCATGGGATGGTTCAAATTCGGGCCATTCCATTCTTCATTCCCCTATCAAACCAGCAAGTTGTATCGCCGAAAATTTCTCGCTGAAGGCTCGGTGACCTTTCGATGGCTCTTCAAAGTACTAAGCCCCTCGAGGATCTTGTCCTGTGCTTTCTGCAGATCCTCCCAGTGTCTCTGCACCAGCTCCTCGGGGATTGAATTTGCGCGGGGCGTTTTGGGCGCAGGCTACCCTTTTCAGGTTGGTCTAAAGGGAAGCCAGAAGGAAATCCCAAAATCTTGGGGCTCCCCCAGTTTGACACAAACGGATCTCCAAGCAGAGGACCTTCATGTGCTCGTTTTACCGCCCATGTGCGCTCAATATTTAGTAGGCAGAATCATGCCAGTGGAATGGTCTTGGAACACCCCCATCCATTTGAAAAAGCTGCTTGCGTTTCTTGGACAAGGGCAATGCAAAAAGGGGGGCCCATCAAATGCATGGACTATGCACACGTGTGCGTGTGCTCCCTGAAACAGCCGCGCAACACTCATACAGCGCTAAACGAAATAACAGTCAGCTCAAGAAGGCTTACTTGAACTCGCAAGCACTGGTAAACTCACAAGGGCTCAAAAGCGCGATGCTAAAACTGTGTTTTTTGCAGACCCCCAGTAAAAATAAACAGAACCAAACAACAAAAACAAAAAAAACATGCCAAGAACAGCGAAGTTGGGGTTGGCTTGGTTTAGTAACAGTATGCCCCCTCCAGCTTGAGACCTCTGAGCCTTTGAGTCGCCTCAAGTGTCCTCCAAAGGGATGCGATTTATTTCCATCAGCCGCGGTGGAAATCGTCGTCTGTCCACCCCACCGCTGATCAGCGATTGGGAACCGTTTGAAAGCATCTGCAGGATGACCTAAGCATACCAAAAACAAATATGGAAGACCGTGTTTCCTCCAACAGGGCACCTCGTTCAGATTCCATGTGTGTATTTGGAAGTGTTACAACGATTCTGCCATGTTTCCCCAAGGACAGCGGATGGTCCTTGAATCCTTGTCACACAAAAGACAAACATAGGCTAGGGGCGGTAGGTCCATCTTCTGTAAAGCAACACAAATCAACATCTACTATGTGCATCACGGCTCGCCTGCATGCCGAAAAAGTGTGGGTTGCCAGTTTTCATCTCCACCGGCTTGCCCTCCGCATCTACAGCATCCACATCAGCACACACCAACACTCGAAAGTGCCCCACGCGTATGATCCGCAGACTGCGAGTCTTTGTAAGGTCCTGCTCCTCAAAAGGGCCATGCCCGGTCATTAAACGTTCGAATTGAAATCCAATGTAAGCATAATTGCAGGTGTACTGCCTGTGTCTGGCCAAGACGATGACGCCAGTCACCTTGGGGAGCTTTGAACGGAATTCATCTCAACCCAAGCCAGTGTCAGGCTCTCACGCTTTGCTTTGCAGAGGTCGCAAGGGGATATCTCTATGTATCAAAGTAAAGTAAAGGTAGGCTCCCTTAAAACCACCTTCGGACGCTACCAGCAAAAAGCAACAGACACATGCAAACACACACACACACACACAGAGATCCACAAAACATTGCCGGTTCAGCAAGATGCAGGACACTTCTGCGTGAGATACTGCGCGTTCTCCACAATAGGCGTCTGTTCTGCGAGCATATTGAGAGCAGAGCCGCCCAAGAGGAAGTCGATGTCATCCAGCGTGCCGCGGCGTTGGTGCGCGACGAGCAAGGGCACAACGAACCCTGGATCCTGCACCCCACAAAAAGCCTAAACAATTAGAGGGAGAGAGAGAGAAGTCCTCACATTCCTCCTACTGGGTTCCAGGCTCGATCTGCACATTGTCGTAAGGCCCCCATTCCCCAAACTGGTATGCTACCGTAAGCTGATTGGCTTCGCCTGCCGGTGTCAGGGCAAAACATCTCCCAGAGCCGTGAGGTTGCTGTAAGACACAACGGAAGTACTGTGGGGTTGCGAAATCCATTTCGCACCACTTGGGCACCATGGTTGAAACCATTGTTTCTTGCAATTTACAGGGGAATCGAATCATTCCGTTGGGTTTCTTAGATGGTGCCTAAGGGGACAACAGAGTGCAGAACAGCTCTCGGACGAACAGCTGCCATGACGCTCTTAGAGCCGGCCACTCCGGTTTTGCGCTCTGCCCAGCAACCCCCTATCAGACGCACATTGCCAGACTTGCGGACCTTTGCAGGCTTTGGGCGATCTATTCCTCTGAATATCGTGCCACCTCGGCGCCTGATGTGTGGCTTTCTTTGAAGTGGGAGATCCTCGCGTAGTCGTGTGGAAAACATCAGGGATCACGGCTCTGACAGACACCCGGGGGCTCAAAAACTGGCAGAAGCTCCGCAGATTTCTCGTCCACCCAAGTCGACTTGAAACAACGGTCCCAACCCAACGACAGTTAGCATTGAAATGGATAAACATCCACTTGTCATCGGTCCAGCACCTTCCTAGTCACCACATCAAAGAGTTAAACAGTAACCTTCCATACAGTTCAGACCAACTATCTAACACTATTATCAACAGTAATACGGAGGACTATACTTATCATACTACTTCTCCAATAAATTTCACAAACATTCGGAACTCCTCACAACAAAAACCACCCCTGATCAGAATCTTGGACTCCTCCAAAGTTTCCCAAACTACCCAGTAAACCATAGTGGAACAAACACTTGGTGCCTTTTTTAAAAGGTCAACGTTTTCAGTAGGACACAATATGACATTTTGGAGAAAAAGCGGGGAGAGAAAGGGAAGAAAAAAACAAACGATTTCTCACTTCCTGAGTGGTTTGGCCAAAAAAAGTCCAAACTTGTTGTTTGCCACTTAAGTCTAAAGATGTCTAAAGTCCAGGAATTTGATTGAAACTTTCTGCCCAAGGCTCATGAGGAAAAACGTTCAGCACCTTCTGGTCGTCCGGCTCCGAAAGGTCCTTCGGCAGCTTGATGCCTGAGAGCCATGCTGTGGGATACTTTAGTGCCACCAGTGGGGCCCCCCTTTGGCTCGCCGGTGACCTTTTGGAAAAACCGATGCCCGGGAAAAAAAACACAAGAAAAACCAATCTAAAGCCAGTGCAACCCATCCAGGACTGTGGGCCTTTGCAAAGACAAACCAGTTCGAGCCGTAGAGCTCTACGGGCTGCCACGATTTGCTTTTCATTTGGTCCTTACAGAATTTTCAGAGCTTCCAGGCCTCAAAACGCTGCGGGGTGCCCGCCCAAAAAAAATCAGCTGGGGCCAAAGTGCTGTAAGGTCAAAAAGGAAATAAGTAATTCGTCTTGGCCGGCCAGTGATTGTCTTTTTGGACCTTACGCTTACGGTATGTTACAGCTTCCAGGCCGAAAAAACCGACCACTATACTCACAACGTACTGCGCCTGCCACGAAATCTGCGCCGCACTAGCAACAACGAGATTTGCCTTTGCTCTCCTTTGTCTTTGCTTTGCTATGTCACCGCTTTGCTACGCCTTTGGTCTGCTACGTCTTGGCTTGGCTGCGTCTTTGCTGTGCTGTTTTTGCTTTGCATGTGAGTCGTCCCGTAACTCGTCATCCAAACATCCTTTGCTTTGTCTACCATGGAGGTTTCTGAAGTCTGGACTGTCCAGACATCCCCTGCTAAAAGCTCAACTTCTATTGGCTTAAATGGAACCCCCACTAAACCAACTCAAAACCCAGAAAAACCTCAACAACAAAAAAACCTAAAAACCTCAAGAACCAAAACCTTAAAACCTCACCACATGGCTGGGGTCCCCAAGAAAACCCTGCGCCCGGGCCAAGCCGAACTTTCAGCCCGTCGAGTGGCTGTCCAGCGCCCGAAGCTGCGGCACCGCTTTCCGCTGTCCGTCGCGCAGGCCACGGCGCACCTCGTCCGCGGTGACCGAGGCGAAGAGCCGCTTCTGCGGCAAGTCTCCGGGAGACCACACGAGCCTCGCCCGGGAAAACGCGTACATGGCTCAAAGATATCTTTCGCCTCTAGCAGAGACCAAAACATGACCAAAAGCACGATCGAATGATACAACACCGACGAAACACTTGGCAAATTGATGCAAATGGTTGCCCCATGATGCAGGCCGGTGCAAACTGATGTTAAAACTATAGGCAAAAGGATGCAAACTGGCAACAGTATAGGGTAAAATTCCCATGCAACAACTTGATGCATCGCAAGAAACATGCCCAGGTCCTCGAGCTCTTCAAAGAACTCGCCCGCCCGTCGTCTGCATCGACTCCCTCGCCCTAGGACCAAGCCAGTGAGCCCCGCCGCGCTCCAGCGAAAGGCGCCGCGGCGTGCGTCTCGATGACGGCGCGGAGCCGCGCGTCTGCTCCACGGCGGAGAGGGGGGCGGCGCGCTGATCAAATGGCATGGCGGCGCCAGGGCCATGGAAACTAAGATCAGCGGGCAGTGCCGTGGGATGATGCACAAGGAGATTAGCCATCAGTTGCATCTGCTCTTGAACATGTGGCCTAAGTATATACTAGGGTCTGGTCACGTTTCTTGGGGCAGGTGCTTGATTGAAGGGATTGGATGTTGACCTGGGCAAATTGGTAATTACAAAGGGCACACGTCGCAAACACCCTAGTGCCTTCGCTGCAATTTGCCCAGACGTTGATGAGTTGCGGGAATAGCTGATCAATCATCCAAAGATTTATACTGCAAAGCTGAAGCAAAGCACCTGGCTCTTGTGCTGACTCGTGATACGACAACGCGCAATCTAATGGCTTCCAATGAAACATGCCTTGTCAGATGTGACCTGCAATTGCTCATTGCTGCAGAACTGCAGAACTGCGCAACGTGAAGGTGATGCCAATCAAGTGGTCGTGGGTCAAAATCCCATACCCCCCGTGAACATCCCAATCCCCACTAAAATAGATTCTAAAATGGGTGGTGCACCTACCCAAAAATGGTACCATTGGTTTTGACCCACAGCCAAGTTGCCCTGTCTCCCAAAAACGCCACACCTTCGCCGAGGTCAACGAGTCCTCTTCGAGGCAATGCTGCCAAGAGGCTTTGACTCCCCCTGGCACATCGGCACTGGTTTGTAGGAATGGTTTAAGCGCAGGACATATCATACACTTACTGTTAATCTGGTTTAATGTTGTTCGAAGTTCATACATTACTGAATCTCACTTTTATTAGAGCATTTCATTGATGAATATGGCTCTTGTCCTTGTGGGCTTGGTTGAAAGGTCGAGATCATTCGTTTCAGAAACGGGCAATTACCAGCCAGCTAAGGCCAAATACGTCATGCCTGTTGGCCACTCTGGCACGAGTCCACCCAACCCTGACAACCCCCAACGGCCCTCTCAAGCAGGCACCGGGGCTTAGGGCGGTGGGAATACCAAAACCGCAACTGTGTTGGTTTCCACAGAAATTGGCATGGTGCATCCTACCAGACTTCGCCTTCAAGGTTTGCCTGGCAAACAAAACCATTCGCAGCTTGAACATGGAGGGGCTAAGTATAAAGTTAGCATGTTTTGTCCAAACTGGACAGTTGCACCAAGTTCATCTAGAGCTTCAGCTTGGACTGACAGTCCAAAAGTACAACGCTGCAAGAGGAGACTGGGCTGACGCTGGGTCCATGCAACACTGGAGGTGTGTCTCTGATATTTGCGCCTGTCCCTTCCAGCACGGTAGCAGATCAAGCCGGCAGTTCAACAAGGCAACTTACACATTGACCGTCATGTTGCAAGGCCAATCCAGTGAGCAATGGAAAGGCAACAAGTCATCAAGCAATGCCATTGATGGTCATGAAAAAAAGGGAACACTTTCCACGCCTTACTCATGAGGTTTCCCTTTTTTCTGTGCAGAACCAGCTTCAACACAAAGGGAAATGCCCAAAACAGTCCAACCTCTCCATTTACCGCTAAAACTGTCTTCCCAAAGGTTTGCAGTCCAGGAACTCAAAGAGTGACTTGTCCAAAAAGGTACCGTCCAAAAAGGGCTCAATATGGGTATGGGTCAAAATTAAACCACCAGGGGATCGCAGGTTTTAGTCAATGTTTCCATTTACCAGGGCAAGCCATTTTGGGGTTACCCTATTTTTGACAACCACAGCCATATTAGTTGACAGCCCGCAGAAAGACAGATCGCCTCACTCGCCGGAGTCATCGGAACCCAGCCTAGCGCAAGGCTTTCGCTGGGAGCAGAGGAGGGTGCTTCCCTCCAAACGGCAGGTCAAAAATATGGTAACCCCAAAATGGGAACTCCGGTACATGGAAACGTGGATCTAACCTGGTCCATGGTGGTTGAATTTTGACCCATACCCAAATAGCTGGTTTCCTTTTAGTTTCCTTGTATAACCAGCCAAAATCCCCTCTTTTGAGGACCTACATCTCACTTCCTGAGTGGCCCCCAAAAAAAAGAAGGTTCAAGCTTCAAGAGTCTGAAGATCTGGAACGGACAAAAAAAAAGTTCAAGCTTCAAGAGTCTGAACATCTAAAACTCAGCAAGGTGCAACATTTAGAAGTTGTCTTCCGGCAGGGAATTGAATGCACATGTCAACTTCGCATCCGGAACATGCAACGAAGGTTCCACGTTTCTCGTTTCGCGAGGCTTTGAAGGTCGACCCCTCCGACCCCTCCGCCTGAAGGCTTCGGGCGGCGAGCCTCTGCCTGGCTCCATGGGTCAGCTCGAAGCGGAGCGGTGGCTCAAAAACCCGGTTAGCCCCCAGTGAACATCCGATTCAATCCAACCACTAAAACATCAACCAATCCCAACTAAAATGGGTGGAATTCACATGGCCATGGGTCAAAATCCAAATCATACCACCAGTGAACATCAACCAATCCCAACTAAAATAGGTCCTAAAATGGGTGGTGAATTCACCTGTCCCAAAATGGAATACCAAAACGGTTTTGACAACCACGGCCATTTCAGCTTTTCTCCAGGTCGTTTGGAGTGGTGGGGTGCAGGGGCTCTGATTTACCCACGAAACCCGGGGATTCAAATCCCCAAACCCTTCCAATCCAACAACTAAGGGATACCTGATCATTGACCCAAAAGTACACGGCAATCAACGCACATAAAAAGGCAACCAAAACACACACACACACACAGACAAGACTGGTAAACGCGCAAACACATAACTTTGCTTCAAGCTGTCCCCTGCCTACTTCAATTCGCAAACCTGCAACCTCAATTCCGCGTCAAAAAGTCAGGATCCAGGGCCTCCAAATCTGAATGTCACCTCAACTCAGATGCCGACATCTCAAAAATGGGCCAGTTGCTTCCGATGAGCTGTTGCGCATGAGCCTGAAAGACACTGGGGGTCACATCCCATCTAGGACCTCCATAGGTCAAGCGGCTTGCTTTGCTTAATCAGCTCCGTGCCCATCGACACGGTACCTTGAGCGACAGCAACCCCCCCAGCCACACCTCCAGCTTCGCCTGACGAATACAAATCTTGATCACCTGTTTAGGACTCAAGGATTGCAAGGCATAGATAATGTTGCCTGTAGCTTTGCAAAGGTAAGTGCTGATGACATCCGAAATTCCGCTATCGACCCTCTGATTTTGAATCAATATCCAGCACCAAAGTACAGTGGCTTGCTTCTGAGAGGAAGCCAAGTCTTGATTGCAAAGTTCACCAAGCAAAACGGAACACGTGCCCCACAAAAACAAAGGGGTAGCTAGGCAATGATACAGAACATCTTATCCTATGAGGCATGCGAAGCATGAGGTAAGAATGCAAATTGATGCGTTCAATCCTTGAGCCCAGCACGGCCCTCAGTAGAGAATTATTTTGGCTCGCGGACAAAAGAGTGGCCTCTCCGGTGGTACGCCGTATGGGACCATCTTGGAAGAGATTCGCCTTGCTACATTAACTGGACTTGACGGTTTTTGGGAGCTGCTCTCCCCCGTCGCTTGAGGAACAGATCTAAGCACTGTAAATGGCCAAGTCCAGCAGTCGAGTACCCCTCCTCCCACTAACATAGAGGGAGGGCACCTGGAAGATCAGCTTGCTCTAGGGACTCTCTGTCAGGTGCCATGTTAGTGGGAGGGAGGGTACTAGCATCGAATTGCCCAAGTCCGGGCACCGATCGAAGACTCTGGCTGCGCATGTCATTGCACGACGTCAAGCTGGCGAGACTTGGGATGAAATCGGATCATCGAAGCCTTCAAGCGTTCATGATGTGTCCAAACGACACAGCAGCAACCACGGCGGCTGGCGCAGCCATGTAGCCGAAGGAGATTTGGCCTGCGGAATCACCCGTGGTTGTGGTCATGGTTGTCGTCATGTTGCCGTCCATCGTGGTCGATGTCGTTGTGGTGTTCTCCGAAGCAAAGGCTGGGCTTAGCAGCATCAGGGAAACGAGGATGGACCGCAGGGACATCATGGCGAGATGAACACTCTGGTATGTTGCAACTACTTGAGGCAAACAATGGCTGTGATGAAGCAGCACAATCCTTCCTGCTGCATGCTGATACGCTGAAGGAAGGTTCCCGTGAAGACGCGGGCTTCTGCAGTGCAATGTGGTAACAGCTTTGCTAAGGCATCACATATGACATACTCCCGAATCTCAAGGGGATCCATCATGCAAGACAAGTTCTTAGTCTGTGATAAAGAACTGCTTTGATGAACGAGGCTTCGCATCCGCATCACCAACATACTCTGGGGATGAACGCGAAACACCTTTAACATCTCCCAATTTGATACTTGTTTGTCGATGAAAAAGACACTGAAGGACAAATTGTCAACGTGCTCTCAAGGGGTATGATGTGCATCTATATGTGTGCGTGTGTGTGAGTGGTCTGTGTGTGTGTGGTGTGTGTGTGTGTATGCGTGGCTGTGCCTCTCTGTGTATGCCTCTGTGTTTGCATTTGTGCGTGTGTGTGTGTGTGTGTGTGTGTGTGTGTGTGTGTGTGTGTGTGTGTGTGTGTCTGTGTGTCTGTGTGTCTGTGTGTCTGTGTGTCTGTGTGTCTGTGTGTCTGTGTGTCTGTGTCATGTCTGTCTGTCTGTCTGTCTGTCTGTCTGTCTGTCTGTCTGTCTGTCTGTCTGTCTGTCTGTCTGTCTGTCTGTCTGTCTGTCTGTCTGTCTGTCTGTCTGTCTGTCTGTCTGTCTGTCTGTCTGTCTGTCTGTCTGTCTGTCTGTCTGTCTGTCTGTCTGTCTGTCTGTCTGTCTGTCTGTCTGTCTGTCTGTCTGTGTGTGTGTGTGTGTATGTGTGTAAGTCGAACGTGCGTTACCTGTGTGTGTGTATGTACACAGGCGTGCATGGTACGTGCAATCCTGGGCATCGTTGAGTGCGCGTGGTGTGTGTGTGTGTGGGTGCACGCGTTTCTGTGCAATTGCGTATGTGAAGTGGGGTATGTGTATGTCGCCTGTAAACCTATACATATTATATAAATATATATTTGTATGCATACATTAGCAACACCCCCGACTTGCTGGTGCCATTACAAGGTGGTGCCCCCATTTTATCCATTCTGCAGTTGTTAAGCAACACTACAACCAGAAATGCAAAACGAAAACATGCAACTGTTGTGTGCAACAACCGCCAGTCAGGGCATGGATCATTTCCATGGGATCCAACAGTCTCTTGTCAATGACTTGCTGCTGAGAGGACACTGAGTTTTGATGGGCTCAAGGGTACCAAGCAAAACTAAATAAGCGTCCCACAAAGAATAGGTCGGCAAATTCAAAAAACTTGTCCGGCATGTGCAGCCTTGCGAAGCCTTGGTCAAAGTCATGGACATCCTCTGTGTGGGCATGTCGTTTTGTTAAGGGGACCCCTAAAATGGTGCAAAATGGGGTGGGGGTCTCGGTCGGACTTGTGCTTGCCAATGCTTGATTTAATGCTGCCTACTAAATGGAGTATGGCCAAAGCTTAATCTCAGATTGCCAAACTAAGCTTAGTTTTGTCAATTCAAAATGTAGTTTTGCCAAGGCTTAATCCTGATTTCCAGTCTTATTTCAGTATTGGCAATTCTACATGTTGTATTGCCAATACTGAATTCTAGATGTCCCATACTTCATTTAGCATTGGCAATTCTAAATTGAATATTGCCATGGCTCAAGCAATGGCACAAGACGAAGTAGATATCTCACATGTTCAAGTGCGGGCTATCAATTGTGCGCCATCTACTTTTGACAGCACCAACTACGATTCCCAAGTGACATTCGGAACAAATATCCTGCCTTACCATGCTGTTCATAGACAAGCATACAGGGTGTGACCCGACCAGACCCTATACCTGACCGGAATGGCTCATTTACCTTCGGCAAATCAACTCCGCCAGTCAGGAAGCTCAGTGATACTCAAACCCCGAACCATTATGCGCTATCTATAAACACAAGCAGCGCCCTAATCCATTCAGCAGCATCATGCTAAAATGGGCACGAATCATTTCGCTCTACTACTATAAGTACAGACAGGGTCTTTATGAATTCAGCAGCATCATGATGATGTTGGCAGCATTATGATGATACCAAATCATCGAACTGTTGTATGGTAGTATCATGCTGATGCTTGCAGCATTATGATGATACAACCGCCACAACCATTTTGCGCCACACTTAAGCACAGAAAGCGCTTCAATGAAGTGAGCAAGCATCGTGATGATTGATGATTTTGGCATCATGACGATAGCCCGGCCACAAACAATTGTGGGCTACATATATGTCAAAGCACAGGCTGCATCCTACTGAATGCAGCGGCACCAAGAATATTTTGTCATCATGATGATACCGCATCCACCAACAAGGATGCCTGGCCAGAGCCCACAACAGCACTGAGACTAGCACCCCCACCACGCTGATCAGGTTGATGTTTGGTGCCCTCGAGGCGCTGCTGCGCGGCGGTTGCTTGCAGTGCGTTTTGGCAATGCAGTTGCAGATCAGAGCACCTTTGCGGGTTCTGGTCAGGGCGCTTTTGGTGCGCTCAAGGTTCGGTTGCAGTTGCTTTTGGTGCTTGTTTCGCGATTGTTTGGCGCGCTCAAGGTGGTGCAGTGGTTGTTGGCAGCACTTGTTTGGCAACACAGTCCGGCTAGGGCGCTGTTTAGGGCGACAGCTGATTTTGGTGTACAGTGCGTGCGGTGCTTGTTTTGTAATTGGCTGTTGGGCATGCGCGGCTTAGGCAGTGGTTCTGTTTGGTGTGCTCAAGGTGCGGTGTCGGTTTCTCGAGGTTGCTGGTTTTGGTGCGGTGACCGTTGCTGCTGGTGTTTGTTTGGCAGGCAGAACACCTTGACGAGCACCCAAACAGTTCCCTGAACAAGACCAACATGACCAGCACGACTGCATCGCCAAACAAGCGCCGCCGGCAACCAGCCTGAGCGCCTGAGCGAACAGCTGCCTGATCAACACCCTGCAGCGTAGCTGAGTCGCAAAACCTGCCAACAACTGCCGCAGCACACAGATCAACAGCAACCTGACCCGCAACAACGAAACCCTGACCAGCACCCCTAACGGCACCCTGGCTGAATGCCAGATAACAGCACCCTGCCCAGGCCCACTATAGCACCAAGAGCAGCACGCGCACCAACGGCTTGATTGCAGAAACAAGCACCGCCAGCAACCACCGACTGTGACTAGAACAAACAGAAGCGCAGCCAGCACCTTGACTAGAACCTACAACAGCACCCGCAACAGCGCTCAAGCTGAATTGTGAAACGCAAGAAACTGCCCCAACACCTTGAGCACACAGCACCTTGACCAGCTCCACAGCAGCACACTGCCTGTGTCACCAAAGAAAACACCATCAACTGCCACCACACCTTGAGCGCACCAAACAGACCCTGACAAGTACCTGGACCACGTCGCCAAACAAGCACCCAGCAATCACCACAGCACCTTTAGCACGCCGAATAGCTTCTCGACCAGCACCCAACACGGCACCCTGACCAGGATCGCCAACAAGCACTGCCAGCAGCCATCCTGAGCACACCAAACAGCACCCTGACCGGCACTTTCACCAGCACCCACAACAACAACGACAACAAGAACCGTCAGCAGGCGCCGCCGCACTTTGAGTCAGCAAGCATCACCCTGACCAACACCAGCAACAGCACCCGGACTGCATCGTAAAACAAGTGCACTCCAAGACCACACCGTAACCAGCACCCAACAACAGCACCAAAGACAGCAACCTGTTCAGCACCCTGACCAGCTGAAGCTCCCACCCAGCTCGAGTGAGTACTCAATTTGTGCAGCCAATACTGAATCTTAGATTTCCGGTACTTAGTTGAGCTTTGCCTAGATCTAACCCTGTAAGCTCGGAACAGCTTAGATGAGACACCCGTTCACGTAAAAGCATAAAGGCTTGGTCGTGGCAAGCGCCCAGGGTTTCTGGATGGCGCCTCTTTCACTGAGGTACCACATGGGACCATGCACCTTGAGCAGATTCGTAGTGCTACCTTCCCTACTGAACTTGACATTTTGGCACTGCTCTCCC